CGAGATGTTGGGGGGTTGACCTAATCACCCGCGGTGGGGGTCAGGAATGGGGGGTAATAATGGGGGTTGGGGCGGGTTTCGTGTTTCGTGGAAAGCCTCGTAACCCAGCAAAGCCGCACATGTACGGCAGCCGTACTTCAGAGCACTATGAACACCGCACGGGGTATCTGCGGAGGACAAAAAAATAGAGGGGGGGAGGGGAGGGGGAGGAGATGTACGCGCCAATATCCATCCACCACCACCACAACAGCTACCTGCCACCTACTATTTCTCACACCATTCATTATTAATAGGCACACACACGTATACATATCCGGATGACTGGTGGTGCATGTGTGTGTGTATGTTTATGTGTGTTTATGTGCATGTGTGTGTGTGTTTTTCCCCCTCAGGTAGTGAACCGCGCTCGTAAGGTGGCGGCACTGGACGGGGTGTTGAAGTCGCTGGTGCAGCTGTGTGCTGGACCGGAGGGGCCGCTACCGGACCTGGAGGTGAAGGGGGGGTGGGGGGAAAGACGAACGACGTGCGCGGGTGAAGCTGCTGGAAAGAGGAAAGAGTGGACAAGAAGCAGAACTGACCAGTAGGGGTTGGGGGGAAGGGGAAGGGGGGAGGGAAGGGGACAACGGGAAGGGGGGCCGGGGTGTCACAGAGGGCTTTTGGGGGGCCGGGAGGAGATGGCAGAAGGCGGGAAAACACAGAACCACGCACCCACCACATGAACCCGCACACGCTTCTCACGCTTCCTTCCTTGACCGCCATTCTCCTCTACTCCCCTTTTGGACGTTACGTTGGCAGTTGTCACTTTCATTTTGACTATTGCATGCATTTCATGTCCTTCCTCTCCGCATCACCCCCCTCCTTCACAAATAAACCATTTACCCAATCTCTCCTCCCCCCTAACCCCTCCCCACCCAGACTCTCATAAATTTGTCCATGGCGCCGGAGCTCCTTCCCAAGCTGCAGCTGTACAAGGTGCCCGACTACGTGCACCAGGCCAATGTGCCGCAGTCGCATTTCGAGCGGCCGCTGCAGCCGCAGTCCAATGCGGGGCTGCTGCAACACCAGGACTCCGTGGTGGGTGGTGGTTTGCTCACGGGCTGGGGGGGTGGGTGGGTGGTGTGTGTGTGTGTGTCGGGGGGGGGGCTTCACGGGCGAAACTGGTAACGAACATGTCATGCAGCACGTCAAGAAGCGGATATCTTTTGTATGTAGCTCGCTGCCTATTTACATGGTTACTTAGGGTTTAGGTCCTGGGTTCGATTCCTGGGGAGACCCCCGAATTAGTCGGGAGCGCGAGATTATGGCTAGCTGCTGAGATGTGGAGTTGAGGTCACAGTTGATGGACCAGATTCGCACGCTGGATTGGTGGCGATTGCCGAACCCTCCGTCTCTTCGGGTGTTCGGGTGAATGGATGAGGAGGGGTCCCTGAAGGCTGGATCCGCCGCCTTGGACTTACAGTTCGTATGGCGAAGTACAGTGTGGTAGTGGTGGATGGTGCTATAAGGTGATAAATGATCTAGAACTGACAATGTGATAAAGCGGCCCAGAAGCCTCCCACTCTGTAACATTACATTACATTACATTACATTACATTACATTACATTACATTACATTACATGGTTACTTACATCTATTCATCTATCCATCTATCTATTTAATTATTATATATCTAGGTAATCATTTATTTATTTATTTATAGCGTTAGAGTGTTTTCAAATGAGGCGCGATAGTCAACCTCTCTGTTCTGTCCCTTTCCTGATTAGTTGTCTCGCTCAGTTAGGTAGTTGGTTGCAACAACGAAAGGTAATTATTTATTTTTTTTATAGCGTTAGAGTGTTTTCAAATGAGGCGCGATAGTCAACCTCTCTGTTCTGTCCCTTTCCTGATTAGTTGTCTCGCTCAGTTAGGTAGTTGGTTGCAACAACGAATAACGAGTAACGAATCAATGTATTGTTTCAAGTTCAGCATTGCCGGTCGAAGTAAGGCCGTCCCGTCCCTCCCAGTTCCCCATCCCCCCCCCCCCCCC